TCACTAGGGAATTCACTAGCGAGTTGGAGCGAGTTGGAGCATAGAGTAGGTGAATCGAAGAAAGAAAGCGATAAGAGGGAAATGATTAATGAAGAGAATATTAGAGATAGGAGGATAGAGATCAATAGAGATAGGATGTTAGAGGAAGGGGGAAGAAAAAAGGGAGATGAGGAGAAGAAATAAAAAAAGAAGGCAGGGAGGCCGAGAAGAGTAGTAGAGGAGTTAGGGAAGGAGAGGAGGAGCAGTATGGGATGTATAGAGGATTTTTTGAAAAGGAAAAGAGAAAGAAGGGGGAGAGGAGGATAAAGAAGAAAAGGAAAGAAGCCTAAGAAGGAGCAAGAAGACAGAAAGGCTGAATAGAGAGATAGGGGGGATAGAAAAGGAGGAGTTAAGGAGAATGATGGAAGAGATAGGGGAGAAGATAACAGAGAAGTTAGGCGAGGAAATGAGAAAATTGAAGATAGAAATTTGGAAAAAGGAGGGGGAATGGAGAAGAGAAAGAAGAGAATTGAGAAAAGAGAGATAGAGAGCCTGGAGAAGAGAGTGATAGATTTGGAAGCAAGAGTAGAGGGGAAGAGGAAGAAAGGAGGTAAGAGAAAGAGAGGGGGGCGAAGGAAGAAGGGAGTAAGGGGATAAACGAGACAATAATAGGAAAAGTGAAGGACATAGGAAAGAAATTAGAATGGAAGGAAAGAGAAGAGAGAAGAAACAACATAGTAATAAAAAGAATGGAGAAAAGAAAGGGAAGGAAGGTGTAAAGAAAAGAGTAGAGAAATTAATGAAAGAGATAGGAGCGAAAGCAGAGATAGAATGGATAAGGATGTTGAGAAGAAAGGAGGGAAAGGAGGTGAAATGGTGGTAGTAAAATTAGGAAGTGGAGAACAGAAAAGACAGGTAATGGAGAGAAGAAAGAAGATATTAAGAGGAAAGAGGGTGAGAATAGAAGATGATTTAACATGGGAAGAGAGAAAGATAAAATGGAGACTAATGGAGATCGCGGAGGAAGAAGAAGGAGGAAAGGAAACAATGTATGGACGAGCTATGGAAGGATAAAAATCAATGATGTATGGTGGAAATGGGAAGAGGAAGGAGGAAAGTGTGCTAAAAAATTGGAAAGGAGAAATTAGAGAAGGTATAGAGAAAATGAGGGGGGAAGAAGGGGGTATGAAGACAGGAAGAAGGAAAAAAAAGGGATAGAAGAAGGGAGAAGAGAGAGAAAAGAAGGAGGAAAGGAGGAGGGGAGAATGAGGGAGAGGAACAAAGGAAGAAGAGAAAGGAAGGAAGGAGAAAGGGGGGAAGGAGGAAGGAAGGAGAAAGCAACAGGAGAAGAAAGGAAAAAGGAGAGGGAGTGGTGATGATGGAAAGGAATGGAAGGGGTGGGAGGCGAGAAAAGAGGTTACCGAAAGGATATAGATGGGAGAAGCAAGCAGCAAAGAAGAGAAAGAAGAAAGGAAGACCGATGGGGGAATGATCATGGGGGTAAGGGAGAGGGAGGGGAAAGATAAAAGTATCAGGAATGGGAGAAAAGGGGGAGGGAATAATGATGGCGGATTTAGAAGTAGGAAGAGAGAAGTGGAGGGTAATAGGCGTATACATCAACGGGGACATGGAAAGGAAATTGGAGGAAATGAAGGAATGGATGGAAGAGAAAGAAGAAAATAAATGGACGATTGTGGGAGGAGATTCAACGCAAGGACAGGTAGAAAGGGGGGGGTGATAGGAGGGGAGGAGGAGGAAGGAAGAAGAAGAAAGAAGATCAAAGGACAAGAAAGTTAATGAGGAAGGGAAGAAGTTGATAAAGGAGTTGGAAGAGGTGGGATGGGGAATTTTTAACGGAGGGATAAGAGGGGATAGGAAGGGGGAGTACACATATACAGGAGGAAGAGGGGAATCGGTAATAGATTACGTGGTGGGAGAGGATAGAGTAA